AAAAATTTAATAAATAAAAAATATATAATTAATTAAATTAAAATAAAATTAATAAAATTAAATAAATAAATTAAATAAAAAATTAAATGAAAAACAAAAATATAAAATATAAAACAAAGCAATACAAATAAAATGAAAAAAACATTTTTTTTAATAAAATAAAATAAAATAAAAAGGGACTAAGCCCTATATATATATATATATATAATATATAATAAAATAATTTTCTACCAAAAAAAATTATGAGGTGGCCACCTCCATCAAATTTTCCACCACATTTTACCGCATTTAAACAAAAATGGTCATGTATTTACTTAATAATTTAATTTACATGATAAAAATACAAAGAATAATGCAACACGTGATTTTGTCAAGTACCAAAAATGCCATGATCAGAATACCACCTCCAGCTCATACTGAGCCTGGAAAAACCCTGATCTAATAGAATGTAAAATTATAAATCACTAATATAATATAACTGCAAAGTGATACTTAATCAAAAGTAAATGCATGCCTTTATGTTGTATAAGTAAACATTCAAAACTAAACGCTAAGAAAAGCCAGATCAAGACACTCTACTCCCCACTACATTCCTTCAATACTGTACTTTCTATCTATCCTGCAACAAAAGGCGAGCAAGAAAAAGAACAACCAGCAGAATTAATGCGACAACTCACCAAAGTCAAGTCCAACCTGCTGAATATCTTCCTCCTTAAATATTTGATGCATTTTAGAATCATTGGGTCCAATAAAGCGTCTGAGCTGAAGTGAACGTGTGTGCAGTCCGTGCAGAATGTGTGTCTGTATGTGTGAGTGTGTTGAACTCAGTCATCATGAGTAGCTCCACCTGCTGCCCACTGCCTGAGCTAAAGCACATTAGCATACAGCTGACGACCCACACGCTAAACACTGACCTGCTGCATGTTTTTTATGTGTCAATGTAACGTAATTTTGTTCTGCATTACATCGACGATCGATGATGCTTTGAATGACAAGATAAGGGAAACTGAAACACATCACGCTTCTGAGTATATGCGATAAAAAATGTATGTATACAAATGGCCATCAAGAAATAGAAACTTGAAACTGTTCAAAAAATAAAATAACAAAACAGATAATAGTATAAAATGCAAAAAAATACATAATACATACATGCTTCCTCATACTTTATGGCTGAATGCATACTTATGAGCTACAAACTGC